GGAGTTCCATCGCAGCCTTGGCTTTCCTGCAGGTCCAGACCAGAGCAGAGTATCCCTCCTTGGTGGCGGTTCCAGTCCTCCATCCTTTGTAGGTCTTCCTTTTAAGATGCAGGAGGTCCACCAGTTCCCTGGAGAGGCAAGGGGGCTGCTGTGCCCTTTTGCTGCCTTGCCTCCGAGATGGGATGGACTTTGCTTAAGCATCCAGGATTGCTCCTTTGAGGAGCAGCCACTTGTCCTGAACTCCCCTCCGTTGGGTTGTGGCCCTTTAGGGCCTGACTGACAAGCCTCCTTAGCTTGTCAAAGTCAGCTTTCGTGAAGTCATGGACTTCTGTATTACTGACTGACTTGCCAGCTTTACAGCAGATGGTGAAGGTGATCAGCTCATGGTCACTGTCACCCAGCTTCCCTTCGATCATTAGGTCGCTGATTAGGTCATTCCTGGTTGCCAGTGCGAGAGTGAGCAGCGCTTTACCTCTCGTCAGCGCGTAGACTTCCTGCATCAGATATAGAGGTCATCCACACACGAGAGAAAGCTTTGTGACTGCTGGGATTTGACTGAGTGCTGCTCCCACAAGATGTTTGGGTAGTTAAAGTCTCCCATGACAGTCATGCACTGGGAGCACACGGCCTCAGCCAATTCCCTAGCAAACTCCTAGTTAAGGTCTTGACCCTGTGTAGGGGGTCTATAGTAGACTCCCCCCATAGTATCCTGTGCCATGTTCCCCCATGGATTTTAACCCAGAGGGACTCAAGTTGTCCACCCTAGGTGCCAATGTCGGCTTGCCGGGACGCGTAGCTTTCCTTGACGTAGAGAGCTACACCTCCGCCCTTTTTGTCCGCTCGATCCCTCCTGTACAGGGTATAGCCATCTATACTTGTGGCTTAGTGATGGCTGGAGTCCCACCAGGTCTTTGTTATCCCTATGACGTCATAGTTATTTGCGTTTAGCAGGAGGACAAGTTCCTCCTGTTTATTCCCCAAGCTCCTGGCATTTGTGTATAGGCATGCAAATGTCCCCTTGGGGGCCCTTGCCTTGCCTACAGATTGTTTCAGGGCTGGGGCAGGGGTGGGATCCCTTAAATGCCTTGGCCTGCTGGCCTTGCAAGGGTTGCTCAGCAGGCCAGCAGTGGCAGTAGTCCCCCCATCCTCCGGCGGGCTTAGTTTAAAGCCCGGTGGAGCAGGTCAAGCAGTCTGGCTGAGAAGAACCTCCTCCCCAGTGGAGAGAGGTGGAGGCCATCCCTTCCCAGCAGGTTGCTGCCTCTCGCCAAAGAGCGGACTGTGGTCATGGAAGCCAAAGCCTTCCTGATGACACCAGTGCTGCAGTCTTTGGTTAACTACCTGGATCCTCCTCTCTCTCCTCAGCCTGTAGCCCGAGACAGGGAGGATCAAAGAAAACACCATCTGCGCCCCCAGACCCTTAAGCCCTGCTCCCAAATCCCTGAAGTGCCTCATGACCCAGCTGGGAGCGCTCCAAGCCATATCATTGGTACCCACATGGATAAGGAGCATGGGATAGTGGTGAGTGGGCTGGAGGAGTTTAGGGATCTTCTCCACAGTGTCTTGGATGTGGGCTTCTGAGAAGCAGCAAACTTCCTGGGTTAAGGGATTGGGGCAGCAGATTACCCCCTCAGTCCCCCTCAGGATGGAGTCTCCCACGACAAACACTTTGCGTTTTGTCTTGGGGAGAGCGGGGGAGGTAGCTACAGTAGAGCCTGTGCTGCCTGCAGGAGCTGGCAACTCAGCAGGCTCTGCTGGGGCTGCAAGAGGTTCATACCTGTTGCTGAGCTCCAGCAGGGTGGGCGCCTTGGTGCGGCAGGCCTTGGGACCCTTGACCACCTTGGTCCAACCTCGTGGCTGGACAGAACGGGAGGTTCCTGAGACCTCCCTTGTCCTGGAGGGAGACTGTGGTCTACCCTCTGTCTCCTGAGGGAGAAGGGCCTGGCAGTAGGAGTCAATCTCCTGCTCACAGTCCCTGATGGCATACAGTCTCTGGACTGCAGCCTGGAGCTCCATCTCCTGCAGCTTGCACACCAGAGACCCCAGTAGGAAGCAGACCTCACAAGGGGAGGTGGCCACGCTCACAGGCCCCAGAGCCTGAAAAAGCGACAGGCAGCCCCTGCAGCCGAGAGCCAGAGGCGTGGAGTTTGGAACCATGGGCTCTGTCTGGGTGGTGGTCTCTGAGGTGCTAGAGGGGGGCCACAGAAAATGCCACATCTTTTGATATTCAAAAGACCAAAGCATGTAGTTAAAGAATTTGTGCATCAACTTTGTCCCCCATGCTGTGATGAGATCAGTATGGCTGCTGTTCTTTATATTCAAGCCAAATAATTTACTGTTACTTGACACTTCTTCCTTTATTTACCCTCATGCCCACATGAATATTACTTTTAGAAATAGACTGCTGCTTTTTTTTTACAATCCTTAATGACCTCTTCATATTGTAACATATCCAATTTCAGGCCTCCCTCATGTGAGTGTAATAGTAAATCCTATTATATAATTTCTGATATGTTATTTCCATATATATGGCTGTGTTCTTGTGCCTTTATTATTTTGGCTCCTATAAATCTCCTTAATAACTAACTGCAAATCTAGCAGATGTTGTCAATGTTCTTTGATAGTCCTAACATCTTTACCAGACTTTCATATTTAATTTCTCTTTTGGCTTTATAAGTGTGTGAAAATGGGATATTTACAAATCTGTGCAAATTTAGAGTGAACACAAGATGTACAGCCATACACTGGTGTAAGTCACTTTCTATGCTGGGATAAAATTTCCCTTGGAAAGTCCTGAGTGACTGATGTACAGTGATGTAACTTACACAGGTGTATTGGGCTTGCTTCCATAGCACTAGTTAATTTAATCTTAAGTAGGCTTTCTCAATGCCTGCACTGCTCTAATAGCTGCCCAGAGTAGGCATCATTCTGGAAAACTGGGATTTGCTGATGCAACTCCTCTTGGTGTACAAACTAGCATATGTTATGCTACTGTAAGCATGTTGTATGTTCACACTAACACGTATTAAGCAAATGCCTAAGGAATGTTTTAGTTTATTAATACAGTGCTTATTTTTTCACTAGATGAGATAAGTTTGTTAGTTTGTCTTTTGTTATCTCTTTTAGGAGACTTTTGTTATCTCTTTTAGGAGTCTTTTGTCTTGGGAACCTACAGATGTAGAAAACCATTGTCTTACTTCAAATACTGGGAAGTATGCAAGATATAAAATGTGCTAACACTCCACCCTGGACAATTGCAGCATATTTGAATTAGTTGCAGCTAATTTCAAGGGCAAGTTGCAAGCGCGAGGGCTCTGCTGCTCTTCTTTGATCCATGTCAAAACCTGGCTGAAATCTGAACAGCCTTAAATGCAATGTCTGTTTTTACCCACAAAATTGTATTCATGCTCCAAATTGTACAGGTTAGTCTTAATTGCTTTTAGCTTTTTTGGTAATACAGCTACTTCCTCCCCTCTTCCTAAGGCTTCTAAAGAATTCCTGGTACCATAATTGTAATTGATAGCTTTGAATTTTGCTGCTAATGTACGCTCAAAATATCTTTTTTTTTTAAATTGAGTTCAAGATACCAATTGTGAAATTAATAGATTTTTTTTAAAGAAGGAAGTCATCCTTAAAGTACCAGGAATATTCTTTTCTTATTTTATGCTGTTATAAAAGTAGATTTTTGGAGGTAGAAAGACAAAGCACAGGCATCAGTTATTCACAGTAATACATATACAATTCATTAGTAGAGCTAGATTGGAAAACTGGCACTGGGTAGAATCAAGGAGATATTGGGAGGTCATACATCAAGATACACAAGTTTCATATTTTATATTTTTGTAATGCTAGTTGGTATCAACTAGATTATGGCTTGTATAATGTGTTTTATTTTTCAGAGGCAGATGGAAATGATCCATCAGAAATAAAGGATACTTCTGTGACTGCCCAGAAGACGGTTAAAAGGCCAAAGCCTAAACTAGATGCACAAAGGTATTGGTTGCAGAATATTCATCTTTTTGTGATGCTTTGGTGTTCTAACAGAAATGAATTGGGGTGTGGCTGCCTGGGAAAGAGTTGTCCAAGGTATTTATTTCACCATTATCCATCTGGGACTTGCATTCCAAGTTGTAAGATTTGGATTTTGAAGGTAAATACTTAGCTCTGTGTAGGCTTGTCTCCTTGCAATCATTTGTGTAATATTACTATCATATTCATATATCATATTCTATTGCAAACTCCTTTGGATATAGACAGTTTATAGGCCGAGTACAATGGATATCTAACATGACGCGTGTTGACCTGTGCTTTTTCTGTATAAAACACTTAATACTTTCAGTCTGCCCCAAGTGTGTTAATTCAGTTTGTTTGTTTAGTTCGGAAATGCTTCAAATTAAATTTGAAGCCACAGATCTCTTCCTCATGTTATTCCCAATCTCTTAAAGGACAGTAAAATGTTACTTTTGTTTTTTTAAAGGATTATACAAACTGTGTTCTTATTTTAGTATAGCTAAGGTGTGCTCTTGACTTCAGTGGGAAATGATCCCTTTCAAAGCGACTCCTAAAACATACAAGGAAAATGGGGCTGAGGACATATCGTGTTAAGATACGTGTTTTGCCTCTTCCAAATCAGTTATTCCAGGATTTCACTTGTTTTCCTTCCTTGTAAGCATTTAATAATAAGAGCCCTTTCTTATGTGTGGATTTGAACTGAGCTTTCCTTTTCTGTTTCATGTAGCTTGTGAATTAGAGCAGAGATGTTTGTATGATGTATATCAGGAGGGAGGGTAGCAAACTTTTAGGAAAGGAAAGCTGCAAATTAGCCCTGCACCTTTCCAGAGTGCCACTGATCCCAT